AAAACTCCATTTTGGGTTTTTAAGTAAAACTTGTTAAATGTCTAGTATTTTGATTTAACACCCCCCTCTAACAACTCCATGATAGATTTTTTAAAGCTAATTTGAGGTGTTAACTTTTCTTTTTGTAGGCCTTGAATGGAACAGCATTGACTATTAAACTATAGTAATTTTTTTTTTTTACTATGGTAATTTTTTATGTACCCATGTATTCTGTAGCTCATAGTTAATAAACTCGCTTGGTCCCTGCCCCTTTAGGGGGTGAAAAAACATTAGCGTCCCCCTCCCTGGCAATTAAAAACTTTTAAATTACAGCTGCTTTGTCAGCTCCCTGGATCATTCCAGTGCTCCCAGGGGGTGGGATAACCCTCTTTGGGAAACAGTACCTAGCTCATGAGTTGCACTTTGTGCTTGCTTGATTCCATATCCTAAAGGTTAATTGTTTGAACCCACCCACTGGCACTGCAGATTGCAACCAAGAACATTCTGTGGCTCATGACCTATGAAAACGTGATGAACAATGTACCATGGTGGGTTGAGGACAAACTGACTATAGAATGGAGTCTTGGTGGTACAGTGGGTTATGCATCTGGCCAGTGCTGGAAAAGTGTATAGTTCAAGCCCACCTGTTGCTTCTCCAAGGGAGAAAGATGGGTAGTCAGCTTCCATCGTGATTTATAACCTGAGGAAACTGACTGCACAGTTCTACTCGTCCTGTAGATTCGCTAGGAGTGGGAACAGTCGGTGGCAGAGAGCTTGGCTTGATGAGCCTGTGTAAGTATTTGAATTATTGTGTTGGTGTGTAATACTGAGATACATGGACTCCTGAAGAACAAGAAAATGTGCCTTGGCTCTACAGTGGACTCACGGCAATGCAAGGACGAAGCTGGAGCAGGCAGTGCTTCCTTCTGTTGTTCAGACTCTAGGCACCTGACAAGATCTTTGTGACCAGTCCCTGGCCCAGCGGAAATGCTGAGCAACTGTCACCTTAAATGTCTCTTCAGGAAAATCTAACTGCCAACGTAAATGGGACAACTTTCTGAATAGCAAATCTCAGCCACGAGGTTTTATTTTTTTTCTTTAATTTGACAAGAAAAATACTATAGACATTTTCATTCCTTAGGAGTGCAGACATTGCCAAATGTCTAAAATTCAGTAAGATCAAATCAACATTAGGGGGAGTAAAGATTATGAAATAATCTGGGTAGTTTAGTAGAGATTAATAAAGGATCTATTTAAGGTGTGGACTGGGTTATGAGAAACCAGCAAGATAGAGACTAGCCTGTATACACTCCCCTTACCTTTCAAGAGGCAGGGGAAGCTAGGGTTAGTTAGGGGAGGGAGCAGCTAATGGAAATTGAGAGAGTATACTGATAGAAAGCTTTTAGAGAAGACAGAACAAAAAAATCTGAATGAGGGAGAGTGCAGAGTAGAGACCCCAAGCACGTTTGTAGATAATTGGACATCCCCTTACAGAAGGGTCACAAGGAAGAGATGAGCCTGGCCGGGTGCAGCATAGCACTGGTGAAACCTACAACTTTACTCTAGTTCTTTAATGCTACCACCACCACTGTCATGACCCCAATTCTACCTGACAAATATGGCAAGACCAGAGCATGTACACTTGTACAGATAGGAGCTGGAAAAGGAATCCAGGACAGGTAAACCCCTCAGGACCAGTAATGAGAGTAGTGATACCAGAAGGGGAAGGTTGGGGGAAAAAGGGGGAACCAATCACAATGATCTTCATAGAACCCCCTCCCAGGGGGATGGGCAACAGAAAAGTGGGTGAAGGGAGACAATGTAGCACATGAAAAAATTATTGAGGGTGGGGGAGGGGAAATGAGCAGCTACTAAGGGCTCAGGCAGAAAAATGTTTTGAAGATTATGGTAATGTACAAATGTGCTTGACAGTGGATGTATGTATGGATTGTGATACAAGCTGTATGAGCTCCCAATAAAATGATTTTATATATACATTTTAAATGCATTCAGACAGCTGCTCAGAAGTGGAAGAGCCAGATCTTAAGAGCAAAAGCATTTGTTATCTTCATAGATAGTGCTAATTGTTCTCTTGGGTTTGCAGTCTCACTAGCAATATATAAATTCATGTTCTTCATAGTCTAACGAACAGGTTAGTGTCATGCTTTTGGATTTTTGCCAAACTTATTAGCTACATGTGAACGTACTTTGTCAATTCCAAATAATAAAAATAATCCACTGAGGATCTGATGGTAATACCATAACATTTGTGGCTTCACTTGTTTTTTTAAAATTTTGTGATACTAAGTCTACCAACCAGTGAAGAGTTTACCCATTTATTCAGATTGAATATTTTAGTGCCTTTCAAGTTATTATGTAACTGCAAGTGGGTCCTTTACCTTAAAAGTTTTATACTTAAATTTTCATTTTGGAGACTTAAAAAATATATTTGTTGCCATGAGGTCGATAGCAGTTTACAGTGACCCTGTAGTTTCCAAGGCTGTAATCGCTACAGAGTAGTTTGATCCTTCCGTTCGCTGCCGGTACTCACCACTGTCAGCAGTGTCCATTTTCTGTTAGTGGTTGTTAATGCAGAAGAGTATTTTAATGTGTTCATTTTGTATGCCACACCTCTTTGAATAACCACCTGTGCTAGTCTGGGTACTTTAGAGAAACAAATCCACAGAAACTCCTGTGTAAGAGAGAATTTTATATAAAGATTAAGTGCACATCAAGAAGACATCCCAACCCAGTGCTGTGCAAGCCCACAAGTCCAACAATGACCCATTAATCCATATGTCTGACACCAATCCACAAAGTCCTCCAACTCACAAAACACACGCAATGATGCTTGACTGCAGGAGGAAAGCCGAGTCAGTGAATGTGTAAGCATCTCAGTGCTGGCAGGGGTCTCCACA